TTATTATTTCCCATTTTGCCGACCAGGTGCAATATGAGTGCGCAGGATTCCTCGAAAAGAACCGGGACATAGTGTATGAAGAGCTTATAGCTGTGGCCAGAGACAGTCATGTGCGTTCACTTTTACTCCTTAATATATTCTGATCCATGCACAACAGACCATGAATATTCTGTAATATCTGCATCAAAATTTAACACTCTTGACATGTTTCAGCATTCGATGTTGACGGTCCACCCCTAAATTGAAATCGTTCCGCAGGAGATCCCAGACCTGCTTCCACGGTTTAGTATGAAGCAATTCCGCAACTCATCGCCAAAAACAACGATTTTTCACTGCGCCTCTTCCCTGTTTTATCAAAGTTAAAAGAAACTAGTCTCTTGGAGATGCAGGGCAGCCGGGAAAACCATTTTGACTGCGATGAACATGAAGTACCTTGATATGCAGGAGTTGGCCTAGAGGCCAACTCCTGCGTTGACTAATATGAAGTAGATTGAAGAATTCATTTTAGTGAATGTCGTTGGCATGCTGCGTTCTCGTCGATGCCGACATAGATGGATAGTATGCCAGGGATAGCTGAATTCATTCATGGAGGCAAAGAGGGGTTATTGAGCTGTGTCGTGGATGGTGTTATTTTTAAACAACGGAACTGGTTTGAAGATGATCTGAATGATTTCACGAATAATGTTCGATGAGGATGGCCAGTTTCGGAGATGGTGTTATTTTTGCTATGTTTAATGATCATGAAAAGCATCAGTGAGTCTGTTTGGTGTGGGGAAGATAGGAAAAGTGCTTCATTGTTGAGGAAAAAATTTTCCCCCAATGCACTGACTCTTCCCAGATGATGCGTAACCTACTTTAGAGCATGATTCCCCTCCTGAATGCAATTCCTGATGGATCAGAACCCAACTGTAAGAAGTCATTGCCATTTCCAACCCTTTAAATGAGGGGGCGAAGATAAATATCCAGTCAAGCGCATCTGAGATGTTATGGGCGAAAGAGTAATTATGAAACTCTAGGCACAACGTAAAGCTATTTGCGATACCTGAAACGATTTTCAATTGACTGATTGCGGTCATAGATGGATAGTATCTCAGAGATAGCTGAATTCATTCATGGAGGCAAAGAGGTGTTATCGAGCTGTGTCGTGGATGCTGTTATTTTGAAACAATTGCAGCAAAATTAAGAGGCGGAGTTGCTGGCATTGCTTTACGAAGTTTAACATCGACATGTACCTACATGGTGGCCCAAGAAGGGCACATTTTTCAATGCGCATTTTAGGTGTTTGCCGGTTACATGAAATCGAGAGAAGGAAGACAGCTACAAAATGCTTTTCTCAGAATTTAAATATCTCAAACGGCGACTGAGAAATAAATTATTGAATTTCAGTTTTAAAAAAAGGGGATTTCTGCCCAACGACAGCCTACGACGGCAGGCACATCCAATCATCCTCGCGATGTCTGCGGAGGTTAGCGTTCCTCTTCCCCTTCTCGTGAGTGTTGGGCCTTCGAGGGGATGTTAGGCCGAGTCGGTGAGCGCAACGCTGATTTAAAAAAAATAGAATTTCAATAAGTTTTTCTTTTTAAGATACTGCTTAAGATATGTCAAGTCAGAAAAAAAATTTATTGCAAACTCTTTCTTGTTTCCATTACATGTAACCGGAGTTTTTATTATTATTGAAAGCATCATATCTAAAATGTGCAATGAAAAATGTGCCCTTTTTTGGGCTAACCTGTCTATACGAATGCCGTGCGAGTAAGAAAGGCTCTGCAGTCAGAAACTTGTTGGCCTCTAGTTTGATCAGAAAACTGTGACTTTATTGTTGAACCTTATTAGATATATCTGGGCATAAGGTATGGAGAAAATATAGGGAATGCAGATTGCTTCGTTTTAAGCCCAGCACCTGCAGTACACTGGCGGACTCGCACACAGATACTCTTTCTCCTGCTGATATAATTAAGAGCCTTCCTCTCTTAAATAACGGATATTTTCTAGGATTCGTACGTGGCAGAGCTGTTCCTCACTGAAGAGCAGAGGGCAGAGAAATCAAAGAAGAGACGAGCGTCGGAGCCGGTGAAACCTTCCAAGTCCATCGGCAAAGCTTCGACCGCCGAAGTCTCTCATTCTGCATCAAAACATTTAAAGCAGACGGTCTGCATCTCCAACCAGCTTGNAGCTGATGAAGACATTGACTGCCACAACTCCGCATTACGTGAGGTGCATCAAACCCAATCGCAACAAGAAACCATTCTCTTTTGACCCGAAAAATGTCACACAGCAACTCCGAGCGTGCGGAGTGTACGAGACGATACGCATCTCAACACTCGGGTTTCCCTCAAGGTCTCAAACACTTTCTTATTTCGTTTTCAAATTCAGGAGTAATTTATCTTAAAATGTTTCCATCTTTCATTTATAACTGGTACAGAAGTTCTAAACTGGTTGCTGGATTCCCTTCGAATGTGTCTTAGTAACCAGCGATTGTGTTCAGTTAATAGAACAAGACCTTAATACAGGAGGCATCTTTTTCGATCAGATGGACCTATGAAGAGTTTTTCTTGCGGTTTCGAGTTCTCATCAATTCAAAAGATATTGGATTCCTCGGCTTGGCGGAAGACCCGTCAGTTTATAAAACATCCTGCATCAAAATCATGCAGAGGATCATGCAGGTTGGAGTCATTTATTTTACCTCAAGACTACATCGATCATATCGGTGATGGATTTCTTTGCTTTGTTTTTTCTACATAATAAGGATGAAGAGAAATACAGGTTTGGGAAGACAAAACTGTTTCTCAGAACCAATGCCTTGGCATACATGGAAACATGTCTATCAGGTCGCATTCTCGCCTGCCACATTCTCATTCAGAAAATTTCCCGGGGTTATTTGACTCGACGGAAGTACAAGCAGATGAAGAAATCTGCACTCCTCCTACAAACATATGCGCGTGGATTTCTTGCACGCCGGTGAGTTTGTTGCCTTAGTATAACCTGTTGAAGAAGTGTAACTGCTCTAGTTGTCACTTGATTTTTT